CCATGCCATCTCCATCCAACATCAGCTCTTTTTGGAATGGGCTTCACCCCAGACTTTGTTGTGTACCATGAACTTATAATGACAGCAAAAGTAAGTTATGTTGCATTGGTACTGATGGTAATATAACTTAATGCAAATTAATATTTTAAGCAACTTTACAACTTCTTTTTAATTTGGTCATTATGAAAGTTTGTTATAATAAATATAGCTTAATTTTGCTAAGAAGTAAAAAAGTTTGTCTTGAGCTTAGAATTATGAAGAAAATGTAGTGGACATTATTTTGATAGCAACATTTTCGTTTTCTTGTTTTGGTTTTATTGTAGAATGACACATAAAATAATGTTTGATACTCAAACTCAATTCCGCGTGTTTCTGCTGCTGGAAGATATGAAAATGTTTTGCATTTAGCAGAGTATTAAATTGTCATAAATGTTCTGTGCAGGAATACATGCAGTGTGTGACAGCAGTGGATGGTCACTGGTTAGCAGAGTTGGGACCTATGTTCTTTGCAGTCAAAGAAACTGGGCGTTCTGGACGTGATAAGCGTCGTCAAGCACTGGAGCATCTCCAGGAAATGGAAGGACAGATGAAGATTGCACAGGAAGAAATTAAGGCTCGCAAAGAGGAGCAAGAACGAAGATTGCAAGCAGGGACTCGAGTGTATGTACATCTTGTCCTTTGTTTATGTTCCTATTTTTATTATCAGTGTAGGCAAGTAAAGGAGTTACTAAGCGACATTCGAGGTTCTCACAGTGGCATGTGTGAAGGTGACTGTCATCTTCTGGGTTGTTGTGCACTGCGTAGTCTGGTAGAAGTTTACTGATGGTTCAGAGGTGCTTGCTGCCCCCATCAGGGCAATGAGTAAGCCATGTGCCAAATCCACTTGTGTTTGGAGACAGTCATCTTTAAAGGAGGTTGCAGTTGACTGCGTGGACATGAGCCTTATATTAAATGGTTAATGAGTGGGTAGTAAATTCTGCTGCATTGGTTATATGCTTCTGTTCTATTTATTTAAGGAGGTGGATGGACCCAGTGGCTCATTAACCAACTACAGAGGTGGATACAGTTGGGCATGCTGGAAACTTGATTTTTGAAATGGCACTTGAATTTGTGCAATTTTGGCTGTTCAAGTTAGTTGTGTACATGTAACTAGTTAATTTTTTACTTATTGTGTAGTAGAATAATGTTTGTTTATTTTTATAGGACTGAAATAATAACACCAGGAATGCGTGAGCCAGGAACACCAGTGACACCCCGCAGAACTCCTGCACGATTTGGTCTTTGAGGATATGACAGTACTGCAGCTTGAATGACGATAAGAAGAACAGCAACAGCATTGTATTATATGGTGTAACAATATGGGTGACTTAGGTACAGTACAGAGCACAAGTTAAGAGCATGGCCAATATGAAACCATGTTTGAAACTGCCTTCTTTATTTTTATCATAAATCAGAGAAGGCAGATTTGCTGTTATGCAAAGAAATGGAAGCACATAACTTATATTTGTCACTTGATATCTTCACACTTCATTGACCATTACAGATACACACATTGGTTGCCAGCCAGCTGAGATATGGGGAGGGAGGAAAAGTGACAGCACATAAGGCTTTCCCTTTCCATCTTCTCTTCCCCTCTTACTGTGACATATCTCAGGCTTGCAGATATTTTGTATCCAGTATACATGTATAATTTATTGCAAAGGCATTAGGCTTCTGTATATGGGTACTGGGATACTAGGAACGACCCGTTCTTCAAGTGCCTGAGCACTGCGCATATGGGTACATTAACCATTATTGTTCAGAAATAGGGATTCAGTTCTCATACTATGGGGCTCCTGGCTGGACTTTAGATCCTATCGGTACGCACAGTAAGTAACAATTAAGGAGAGGGGCATGTGGATTGCAGTAAGAAACCAGAATTAGTCATTCTCTAGCAACACACTTTCTGTCATCACAATAAAAATAGTAACAATCTTTTGTGGAATATTGGACAGACACATGAAAAAATTTGAATGAAATTATAGAACACTGTTTTGATAAGTGAGAGGACAATGATAATACAAAAAGGAATTATTTCTTTTTCCGGTTTAACAATGTTTGTACATTTTCTGGTACCCTTTACGGCTCCCCAATTTTTTAGTTGGCTTGATCTATGGACATTCGGTAGAACTCCTTGGACGAGGGATTGGCCAAAAAGGAATTATTATAAAGTAAATTATAAAACTGCTCCCAATGAAGATAATATGTCTGTATTTAATTAAGTACCATGCTGTGAAGACATGGAGGAGTGAAGATATAGCTTCACACATTTTTAACATTGGAATTAGATGGAGGTGAATGGTCAGCTGAAGACTGGCCCATATACCCATTCATTAGTTTAATATATGGTGGGATGGGCTCCAGAATTAGTCTTGACATGTTAACAAAGAGAAATATTGCTGCCTCTGCTGGGAATCAAATCCTGGTCATTCAAACCCACAGCCAGTCATTGTACTGACTGAGCTATTCTGGCTCATAATTATTATGTATCCCTGGATTAAATTCCTAACAGGATAATTTAATGTTATGGATGTTTAAATACAGTTGTTACAACTCCCATTTCTCATTGATATTCTGGTCACTTCTTTCATTCATTGTGTCTGTTGCTATGCAGTAGGACACAGGAGATAAACCTTTAACCTGTGTGTAGTAATCTTAAAACTTTGCATACTGTGTAGTAGATTAGAATATAAAATAAGTAAACAAACAACTATTAACACTATAAAAAAGACACTACTGCTATACGTGTTTCAACCTCAAAGAAGTCATCATCAGTGGCATCAAGGAAATTAATTAATTTAATCAAATGGTTCAAACTGGATTTATAAATAAATAAGGTGTTTCACAAAGGTTATTTCAAACGATACTGCACTAGATGTTGTTATTCACAGAGTAGAACTATGCGCTTAGCTATTGATCTGATGGTTCATTGGCCGTAGCTGGTCTGCGGCGAGCTGTGGTTGCGTCGTCTGTACCTGTGAATAATAATGTGATCAATAGCTAAGCGCATAGTTCTACTCTGTGAATAACAACATCTAGTGCAGTATCGCTTGAAATACTTTTGTGAAACACCTTATTTATTTATAAATCCAGTTTGAACCATTTGATTAAATTAATTAATTTCCTTGATGCCACTGATGATGACTTCTTTGAGGTTGAAACACGTATAGCAGTAGTGTCTTTTTTATAGTGTTAATAGTTGTTTGTTTACTTATTTTGTATTGTGTGTAGTAACATTATCCTGTAAATGAGATATAAACAGTATGTGATGCTGAGTAATGTTTGTGCATATCTCTAGATGTCCTGTTCATCGGTGATGACGGTCTGTCATTATGTTCCTAAAATGGGAGTTTGATGCACTTTTTAAGAAAAATTATAACATTAGAGACCAGCTTTTAGTGTATGGAAAAGGCTTTTTCACATTGGTTTATTCCACATAGTTTTTTCATTCCATTTCATTAGATCAGGGGTCGTAAACCTGGTCCCTACTGCCCACTAGTGGGTGATTCAAGTTTTCAAGGTGGGCGGTGGGGGTTTATGTCCGTTGTTACAAATTTTGTTCTTCCTCCATGTATCGAATACATTGCTAAGAACTTCGTGAGTTTGACTTTTTAAAATATGCTTTTGCAATTTACTTTTGAATTCCATCTCTAAACTTTGAATATAGGTAACAATTCACCGGACACTTCTTGAAGTATATTCGTGGACGAGGGAGCAATGAATGAGCTCCGTAGCCAAAGGCACGAGTTTAGTGCGCATAACGAGGGCAGGGCTTACCACGGGCCATCACTCAGTCTTCGAGCTGAACCTCTTTCATGGTGGAGGGCAGTACATGTGACACCGGTGGGCGGTAAGGAAATTTTACCATCAACAAAGATACAAAAGTGGGCGGTAGGTATAAAAAGGTTGACGACCCCTGCTTTAGATGAATGCATGTGATTAGCTTTATGCTCTGACTGCTTTACCCCCAATATCCTGTGGGATGGCAGCCCTCAGAGATAGTCTGGACATGACAGTAAGGAGACATCTGCTGAAGGCTGTAGCCAGTAACTACTGACTTCTGTCATGGTTTATAGTATGAGAATACTTGGTGTAGCAAGTTTGCTATCTTGGTTAATCGAAGGAGATCATGTTTCTTGATACAGTACTGCATTGATATTGAAACTTATTGGCCTGTATTCTGTAAATTTTATACACTGAATATTACTGTAAATTACAGTGAACGGTGGTAGGATAACACATGCAGACAACAGTCGTTCTGGATTGAGTAACAGAACAGAAAGAAAAGAGCTCTCACCAGAGAAGTATCATAAGAACAGTGACATAAAATTACAGCACAGCCCTTTCTGAACCTGAGCGTGTAATTGTGCAGTGAGGACATATGTACTCATCACAGACAAGAATTGTTTCCACTGAAAGAATCCAACACAGTCTGGAAGAGACGGAAAATAGAGAACATTTTTATATAATCTTATTTCACGAGAGGTCATTAATTCCTATGACTATATATTTCTGATTACATTATAAACATTTTCAGCGTGAAGTTGCTAGTGGACTGAGCAAGTACTGCAAAAATATATCACAGGAAGTTGACAGATGGAAAACATCAGCTGTTGTGATGAACACTAATAGGCGTGAAGTTGTCTTAAGTGATCAGCTGCATTAATTCAGTGTTTCAGGCTATCTCCATCATGAGGAATTTATATGATGAACATCATAAATTGGCTGATATAAATGTGTAGTCTAGCACAGCCCAGTACTTGTTGATCAAGAACTAACCAAAGTGATAGCATTGGAGTCGAGCGATTTCACCAAGGCTAAACGACAACGAGTTGTGTTAATTTACTTTACCACCGATCTCCCTTTGGCTAATCTAAGTATATTGGCAAGTCTTTGTCATTCATCACACCAGTCGCTGATGTAATCTCTGAATTATTGCAGTTTTATTCTATATTGATATGGCTGGTTACCCTAGAAGATTTCATTTAGACATTGTGAGTACTAGAAATGTAACTTTGATCCAAATGAGAATATTTATGTTGACAGGATGATGCTGTTGTACTAAACTTGCGTACTTGAATAGCTGGCTCCACATCACAGTAGACATTATAGAGATGTCACAGTTTGTCCCTTGAGTAAGATGTTCACAACGTATGTCAATAAATATGTGTATAGTCCCTGTGGTTGTTAGCAGTGGGATGTGGCTTCATGTTAGCGTTCGCCGATGTTCAGTACTGCTGTCGTTTAATCCAAACAAGGATGTTAATCCAGATGAAAGCGCAGGTACCCACATAAACGACTCGGCCCACAGGAGGCACAAGAAGAAAATTCAGTGTTTGCGCTGGTAACCAGAACATACAGCTTGTCTGAAACAGATATCACCATCAATACTGTGTGTTGATTATTTCTGTAATTTATAAGTTAACTTACCCCAATTCTAACCAAGTGTAAAATCTGAGAAGTCTCAGTGAGACTGTGATTACTGGTTTTGTTATGCCTACTGCATGTCTCAGAGGTAGTTAGAGTGTCCAGTATTGGGGGATTAATTGTTGGTAGGAGAAAGATTAAGTACTTAGAAAGAAACTTCAAAAGAAAGAAGAATCCACACATGGATGAAACAAAATTTGTGTGTAAAATTTTAGTAGGAAGCCCTGAATGGTAGAGACCAACTGAGGAAATTAGAGAAATGGGTTGGGACGATGTATTTTGGGCAGACATGGCTCAGGATAGGGTACTGTAATACGTTTTTGTGATGAAAAAGAACTCAGGTTCAATGACAATTTTCTGATAACTGTTAATTGTTCAAGGGAGGAATTTAATCGATTATTGTAATTTTTGTTCTTTGATCTTACTGTGAGTTTACCTGAAATGTAGGTACCATTTTTTTCCTGCATTCTTCAAATATGTCTTCTTTCCTCTCCATTGCACTCATAACTGGAAATAAAACAATTTAAATCAGTGATTAATAAGCTGATCCCAACTCAAACATAATGAAACTGATTTCTTGAAATATTTGCTTACACATTTAAAGTTACGCATGTGCCATCATGAAATTGTACCCTAATGCTTTCATCAGAAAAGGTGACTAACACAGCAGATTTTTAAACCCTTTTGTTGCCAAGCCCAAATTTGATAGTTAGGTTGTCCCTTTACCCCAAAACCAGGCTGGATGTGATGTCAGAAAAATTCTATCCTTGCCAGGAATCAAACCCAAGTCATCCAGCCCATAACCACTTAATTCACTGACTGAACTATTCCAGCTCAATATTTGGAAAATGAGGGTATGTCAGTGCTTGAAAAACATGACGGCATAAAGTTAGTATATAATTCAGATGGTACCAATACAACTTACTAATAAAAAAGGCACATAGGAGAGGTGGTGTTAACACAAACTGATCTAGTAGCAGCTTCTTCACAATTGTCTTCGATGCTGTCCCTATATATCGGCTGTCCAACCATCTGTACCTACATGACAACGAGTAACATGTTTTTATTTGTTATATTCTAGTTATATCCTAATTGGCTCCTTATGTCCAAAATAAAGGGCGAGCCCAACATATATTTATTGTAATTAGTAAGATTGTTTTTTAAATGTAATTACGAACACACACAAAGAAAAATATGCAGTCTTTATGGCTGATGTTTGGTTTTGTAAAGAAATGAAGAAATAGATTTGTGAAAAGACAGAGATCCCATATGTCCAGTATCTTGTGTTGTTCATATTTAAGCCTAACAGTGCCAGCATATATTCTTTTACCACACTGGCGTACGTTTGATTCTGTCCACATGAAATATTTGTAATTCGTTTACCTGAACATAAGTGTCTCAGAATTATCACAAAATTTCTATGTAGGTATAGTACATTTATTATTGAGTTACCTAACTGTTCTGAATTTTGTTTGGGGTATTTTAGTATGGAAATGTTTGTCTCTTGAGATCATGAAAGTTACACTTCTAGAAAATACTGTGTTTAGCAAAACAACATTCAGAAAAATTTAAGAATCTATAACAAAAATAAGGTTTGGGGAACCTGGAAGAAATTTACCAACATATTTTTGTAATAAAACCAGTTTTATTCCTGTAAATTAACATAGAAATTTGTAAAGTAATAAGCATGGAAACTTAAATGAAACAGTCTAAAAGTAAGAAATGCTGGGGAGAATGTAGAAAAGCAGAAGTAGGCTTAAAGAAAGACGCTTGGTGTTTGCTAGCCAGTTCCAGAGTTCCTCGAGTAGATAGAATGTTAGCACAAATTCTGCATAAGAAGGCGTGTTTTATTATTAATCCTATGTATATGCAGTTGTCTCCCAGTGATCATAATTTCATATTCTTTGTTGAAAAAATCAAAGCAAAATTCCATGCAAATAATACATTTTTGCTTCAGTTGTGCAAAGTTAATAGATACTGTTACTACACAAGTGATTTCTCAAAATTAGTGAGCTCTGAAAAATTGCGATATGAGACAAATATGTGTATTGTCTGCAACTTTTATTCAAGATATTTTTCTGTGAGATATGCTCGGAAATATACTTAGGTTCCTAAACTATTGACCATACAACACAGATTGCACATGGTCCACCTGGATTGTCTTGCATTGTGTGTTGTAGCAGCGTACTGCTAAACTATTAAGCACCGGGGTTAAAGTCTGGCTGGTAGCCCCCAAGTACGGGCATTTAATAAATCACCTATTTCTATCCAATAAGGACTGATTAAAGCAACCCTTAAAATGAAGATTTCTGTCTTCTGTGTTGTTGCGCCGTGTAGTCTGGTCGATGTTTCATCACCCTGATGACGGAGGCAGTATGACCTCTGAAACGTTGGTAAACATTTACCAGACTACACGGCGCAACAACCCAGAAGACAGGAATCTTCATACTCACTGCTGTGAATACCTCAAATAATACAACCCTTAAAATTATTGAAAGTTAATGAAACTTACACTTGGTAATATTTATATAATTGAAGAGCTGTATATCAAAATTCATCAAAGACCTAAAAATACAATAAATGTTTACTTAGGTTTTTATGTAAAATAGCCCTTAAAATTACCAAAACTAAACCAAACCTCACATTGATTTTGCTCAGATCAGTCACATAATGTGGGCACTGTTAGGTCTTTGTATGGATAGACAGGTACGATTAAAATAAAAACACACCCAGAAGGATTTTGTGGGGCATCAGGGTCTACTGCCAATGGAAGAGAATTAAACTTTGGTTTTCTATTAGAACAGAGAAAGGTCTCACCAGACATAATAGACATGAGGATAGATGCCCAGCCCCAGCACAGCGTAGCGTGTAATAGTTCCAAAGTCGTACGGAGTAGATTTCCCATTCTTAAGCTGAAATGAGATATGACCACCAAGATCACCCAACCCTCACAAGCCATGCAAGAAAAGAGAGTATCAGAATTACAGCTCTAAAAATACAGTCACTACCTTCAAATATAGTAGTTAACTTTACAAAATGTTGTACACATAGTGAAATGAGAAATGCATACAACATTTTGTTTGAGAAACCTGTATGGAAGAAACCTTACAGAGGTGGAGTGTGGCAGTAGGTCAACTGGCTCTTGGCCTGCCGATGACTGTCGGCTTTCTCGAGGAAGACTGTGCCGTGAAGTTAGTGTGACTCAGTGTATGTCTAAGTACTGTAAAGTGTCTAAGTCAGTACAGTAATGCAAATAAAATCTTATGCATATTTAGTGGTTCTCATGGTCTGCAAGCTGATATGAAGAAAGTACAAGTTTGACTCTGGGTTTTTTCTGTTATGATGTATTCTGTTACATTAATTATGTCTTGGTGGGTGATGATGTCATCATGGAGGATTCCCCATGTGATTGCATGGCCGTTTGGGAATTTCCCACCCAGTCATCTTCCACATATAGAAATGCATGTATGTTATCATGCTACCATCCATTATTGTTTGATTTTAATTAAAACTGAAAATCCATTCAGTGGTTCTTTAGTTATTACGCTGTCAGACAGATATGGCAAAGGTAATGGTCACATTTTCACAACTTTTAGTTACAAATGAAAATTTGAAACATTTTGTCAGCGTTACATATATAAAAGTAAAGTTTGTCCCACTATATGCCATGTAGGCGTTTGGGGTGAGAGGAGGTATATAGGTCATCTTAGAAACATGACTGAAGCCCAAAAGCAGGCATAAGCTATCAAATGGTGGTCATAAAAGTCAAATTTCAGAATTACAGGTCTGCTGTTTTCTGAGACTTGGTGTACTTTGTGTGGATTTATAACCTAATATGCGAGGAAGTTATATAGAATGCTGAATGATCAATACCATATATATAAGACGTTTGGATAAATTAACGTTCCCATTATCGCATATCGGCTCAAGGATCCTTTGTCAATTGGCTCGTGGTGTGAATCTTTCACCTGAAAAAACAAGGTCAGGAAAAGAAAAGCAATATGCAACCCAAAACATAAACAAATAACTAAAAATAAAAAATATCTTAAATTAAACTGAAGATACATATAATAAAATATAGATTAAAAATAAATTAACAGTTTCTGCTTTGATTTACTTTATATCTTAACATTTATATGGGTAAGAGAATACATTAAAAATGCCGCTAAAGAAGGTACAGTTTCAAGATGTCTTTAATGGTATTGCATATAGCAATATGTGCACTAACAGCAGTCAATGTCTGTCAGTTCTCAAAGCCGTCAATGGAATACTTTTGTGTGGAAGTGGATTTTGTATGTGTGTTTGTGTGTGCGCGCGTGTGTGAAAATTTCGTGAAACATTCTTTATATATTAAAAAACAATTGAGGTTATATCAGACAAATTAAGTACATCAAGAATATGGACATACTGCTGGAAATTATACATAGAAATAGATCACAAAATTGCCTAATTATTAATTTATAGTTCCTGCTAGTCTCTGTGTATATAGGTCTAAGCATTTGATTGAAAGTAGTTGCTGTAAGTTCTTCCAAGAATTTCGTGTTAGTGGTAAATTATCTATTTTACATTTCCATCTGATGAACTGTGATTGTCGTGATAGGATGTAATATGTGTGTTCAGAAATTAAGGCTTATCAGATATCAAGACATTTTCAGTTTATGCATAAAACACAGTTTTATTATTATTTAAGTTTTAGAATTATGTAATTTCAATAATAAGTATGTGATCAACATATTTAACCCTAAAAGGCTTGGTTTACTGTAATTAAAGCAAATCCAAAATCATCATCGTCATCATCCAAATGCTTACAACTGACCAAAATCTTCTTTGTGATAGTTTGCTGAGTGAACTCTGCCCCCGTGATGAGTGTTCCATATACCACTGCATTGGAAGCCATTGGGTACTTTTTAAACAGTGTCTTCACTGCCATAAACACCCTGGTGGCCATGTCCACCTGAAAATATATTGTTGTCGTTTATAAATACTTCTTGGGCGCTCTTTACGTCAGTCCATTATGTCAGTTTTAGTTGGACAGTAGTAAAGGGTAATACACATCTTAATATCTCCACTGAAAAATAATAGGATACCCAAAATTTGGTATGGAGATAAATCGTGAATATCCTATAATAAAATATGAAAAATATGTTGAACTGGTATGACATAAATTACAAAATGGCTATATTGTAACGCTTATGCAACATCTGACGCCTCTCTTAGAGTAAGAACCTAAATTAGTGAAAGTACTGCACAAAAAATATAGATTACTAATGTGTGTAATTATGAATTTATAATTCCTGTTAGCAAATACTGGGATTTGAAGGAAAGTAGGCAAAATAAGACAAACCTTAGACTTATGTTTTCTAGGATCAAAATTTCGCTTGGATCGAAATATAGTTACCACTTAAGTCGGAAAATAAGTTAGGCCTCTCAGCTGTATAGGCCATGCACTCATTTTCACGTGATAATATGTGCGTTTGACTAATTGTAGGTCTCTGAGTAAAGAACTCCTTCACTACACCATAGACGTGGTAGGACATTTGTGCCAGACAAGAACCTGAATGAAAGTTTGGAAATAATCAGACGATACAGGATTTAACTTAAAAAATATTTTTGTTCAGGCCAGAACAAGCGGTGAAGCTACGATTTTACGAACACATTTTTTGAGAAAACATCTTGCTGTGACAAGTACAAACGTGGCTGTGATGTTCGTTTCCGAGAGGACAAAATATGTTCGGTCTCTTGAAGTCTTACGGCAGTGTAAATCTGCTTACAGCTAGGAGCACCAGCGTACACCAAGATGCCTTATGCCTGGAACAAACTGGTTATACTATCGACAAAACACGTGACTCGTTTGTAAATGCGATCGCAGTATCGTTCAACTCTGGGTTAGAACCACGTGCCGTTGCTTCTAATAGGTGCTACTATGTACTCACTTTTTATCGTTCCCAACATTTTTTTTACAATCATCACTTGCACTATGACACTGACCATGATGACGTAACGTGTCATTGTGTGCAGATTTCGTATTTGCAATTGTATTGATCGCTTTCAATAAACATCTCCGACATTACTAATAGTTTTTTTATTTCAGTTGATCTCACTAACACTTTTCTGTCTATTAGGTTGGGCAGTAGAGAGCGCGCTTGTAAGACCTGGCAGGCAAACGGCTATCACCCCCGATGTCAGCGACCCACAATTCGTCAAACGCACACACTTCGATGTGAAAACGCGTGGTCGACCAACATCAAGGAGTAATGAGTATAGGCCTGGAAATTATTCTGGGTAAGCAGCCTAATAGCATGCTTCATCTTCAAAACCACTGAACGAGTTCGGATTAAATTTGATGTTGTTTACTAGAATCTGCCTTGTGAATTATATATAAATCGAACCTGCTACATGCTTAAAAGTGGCGAATGGGATAACAAGTTGGAAGGACAACGGCATAGAACGTAGATCTTTTAAGATATACAATTATCATTGAGCCAATTTTCGACATGGTGATTATTTAACACAATACAAGCGAAATTAATTTGTTCTGTGCAGCTGGATCAGCGTTGCAACAATAGATTTGTATCTGAAATAATTGAAAAGTCGAGTGAGTTACGGCAATTCAGAAAGAACACATTTAGTATAAATTCCCTATCTTCTTAACGTTTGGTGTGAGCAGTCCTAATAAGTGCACAGAACATGTACTAATTACCAGTACTTACAGTGACAGGCGTCTGCCGGTTTACATTTATGATGCTTTTGTCACAAATCGGCTTCTGAAAGTCATGAAACGTGAAAATGTTAAACGACGCACTACGTCACAAAATTCTACGTGTCCTGATGCCGGACCTGTTATCGTGCGATATGGTTTTATGTACTGGCAGTCTTGGGTCCTAATTGTGTTACCTATGGCAGCGAGACCTGCTGGCCAGCAAGGCGGCAACACTGCGGCGCTAGGCGTCACATGCGACGTCGTACCGCACAAGCTGTCCAACATTACAGGCTGAATAAATCAATGCTATGACATAACTGTAAGGAAGAATTTGGGTCTCAAATACAAATAGTTTAGTCTAAACTGTTCTGTAAAATGAATTATAATACCATTAAAAAAACTGCTTGCTTTTATACTCGGTTACAGTTAGTATGTTGCAACAGCATTAGGCGATTATTAAACCGGGAGGAAGCAACACGAGAATAAAGGCAACTGAAAGCGAGGAGCTTTGTAATTTGTACTTTTTACCGAATACGCTTGTTTTATTAGGGTGACAAAATTAAATGATATGAGGTGGGCGGGAAACTTAGCTCCGAGGGGATGCTGAACGTACGAAATGTTTGTCGGAAAACCTTAAGAGAAAAGACAGCTTTGGACATGTAGACGAAATGCCTGGATAATATGAAAGTGGGCGTTAAACAAATAAGTTGTGAGAAAGTAAACTGAATTCATCCGACTAAGGGTAGGACCCATTGCAGAGAACCTAAGAACACTGCAATGAACTCTAATTCCATAAAAGACGTTATTAAACCTTGGATTTATTCTCACACGACTGACTGATCGTCCGAGAGGACTCCAATGCATTTTGTCATCGTTAGAGCTTCAAATATGTTTGTATTTAGTATTGCTTAGTCTCTCCAAGCAACTGACAGGACAGTACAGTAGATAGGCCACAGCAGCCTTCTTCCAAATCCATTGTTATTCGTCATTCATGATCATATTTGCATCTCGCTCACCGTTCTATAACCCTTGAATTCGAAAGAGCGTAGGCTAATAACCTACACATCAAACGATTGGCCAACCTTTTAAGGAATGGTCACGGACATGAAAACATTAGTTTAAAGATGGTTGTCTTTTGGATTGTTCTGCCGTGTAGTCTGGTACAAGTTTACCGACGTTTCAGAGGTCCCTGCCTGCCTCCATACAGGACTTTTGAAGCGTCGGTGAACATCTACCAGACTACACGGCGCAACAACCCAGAAGACAGAAATCTTCATACTCACCGCTGTGAAAACCTCAAATCATACACATCTATTTTTTTTACTCCAGTAACACGCACAAGAATGTAGGACAGTAGAATTGTCTATGGGTGATCAGGTCTCTTATTGAATTAAATTATCAATGTCCAAGACAAATTATTCGTGACTAGGAGGGAGTTTGGTAGTTTGATACAGTCTATTCAGGCACGTTCTGGATAGTACTTTTACCGCGGCACCTTAAAATAGGTCTCCTTCCTAATTCATTATTAACAATCATTACCATATTTAATACAGTAATCGATGCTTTTGATAAACCGTCATTGAATGAAGTTGGAACAGCGTTTTTAACTAGTTCAAGGATCGGTCAATGGAACTTACGTACAATAATGTCTGAATTTTGGTCCCCCAGGGTGACAGTGCGTTACAAAAATTACTTGTCTGTGGCAGCCTTTCTTTTATCCTTATATTCGCGTTTCCTGCAAAACTTTGTAACATTACAGAAAAGGCCAAGAATACTAACGCAATAAATTTGTATTGTCTTCTGCAGCCAGTTACTCCTACTTCGCCACGAAAGTTTCGCGCCATTCGGACAAATTCTGGGAAGGTCCCGTTGGTGGCCAGACACAGAATGAATCCTGAACGTCAGGGATCTGGTTGGGCGAAGGGCCGTTTTACTTGTTACTTCTTAATTTCAGTCTGGAGCGCGAGTGTGACTGGGTCGTTGCCTTCGTAAGACCGGCACCAGAAGTGTGGGCCGTTGAACTTATGAAATGACGAATCCCATAATCAGCACGCGGCACGTGTAATCCACTTTCTTTGCCCTGGTTATATATTGACTTATCTCGCGCTCTGGGTGACACGAAACAGAGAAATAGAATGCGCTGTGAGAGCTTTGACATCATGTGAAATAAGTGGCTCACTGAAGAGAGTACCCAACACTATTATGTAGAATTAACTATCGCACATTTTGGGAGCGTGGAACTGTGGGAAAAGAAACGTTGCTCGTACCAGGCCACTGTCGTCACTTTATTACACGTTAAGAGAATGGAAAAGGCGTGAGAATTATTTCCCATGTTTCCACTCTCTTTTCGCATAGGTAATTTTAACACTTTATCAGTTATCGTAACTAAATCAGAAAGTAAACCTACTTTTGTCATCCTGACAGATGTTTCATATATGTTTACTGTACAAAAATTCGGATTCTTGTCATGATGATTACCGACGGTTGATAACATTCGACACGTGTTGCTTTAAATTTACCCCTGGTAGCATGACACTCATATCAACATCTTGTTGTTGATTCAGACGTTTTTAAAACAGACAAACAGATGAAGGTACGAAATGAGATTTATCATCGTGTTTTCCTTCCTCTTTGTACTACGCTGTCTCTGTTGCATAACTTCGGGGCCAACGCAAGAGTTATGACACCACAGGCGAACCTCCAGCCGTGGCCCCCGACCCAATTAACTTCGGCTAATTGATGATGGAAGGTCATCTCACATTGATCAGGCCTCAAGGACATGTGGTAGACTTTGTATTTGAATTTATATTATACAGTTTTATCTTAAAGTGTAATCATAATAACATGGCTACGGATCACGTGAATATAAAAAATAATGCAAGCGTTTCAATTTTTTAACAGAAGACGCCATTTTTAATAACAAGTAATAAATTAATGTCTGTACACGTAACCTGTGAAGAGAAAAGAGGACGGACAGGAAACCTGAAGAAGGGCGAAATATAACGGAGTAGCGCAAGGTCTGTCGTGCCCCTTCACGAGGCAATCTGTCCGTCGATATCTTCCGACTAGTCAGACTGTCGACTTAACTATACACACGCACACACATACGTCAGCTATTTTTGTGCGATACCAAGTATTGCTGGTGGCATGTTACAGAGCCGCAGAAACGAACACATTTGCTCTTTCTTTCCGTTATCTATTTATATTATTAGACGCCTATTATATTCTCCTTCACGAATTTTATTTCGCTTTTATTAATTCCGTTTCTTGCCTCCTTCCATGGAGCGAGATTCGAAATTACGATCCATTGGATCTCGCTAGTCAACCCGGATCGACGTAACCAAACTGCTTATGATTCAATCTGAAATAACTCCTGAAATTATCTTCTTCTAATGATAAATGATTCTTTATTAACAGACAGAAAGATCCTTCTTCACGTCTGGTTTTGAATATTGAACTCGTAGGTTTTCTTTGTTTCTTTCGCAACAAATAACACAGCAACACATCATCTTCTTCTTATTCTTCGAGTAACCTTTTTAGAAGCATTTTTGTACTCATTTTTCACAGAATATGTGCACGTATGTCTCAACAAAACAAAGAAAACAAACACTTTGCCGCATGTCTCGGTCGTCACCTCAAAAGTGTGTGGCGACAAGCTGCGGTGTGTCCGTCTCCCGTCTCTGTCGCCTGCCTCGGTCGCTTGTCTCTGTCGCGTGCAGCCAAATTGTACCTTAACCCCTCATGTTCCAAACATTTTCGTTGCACTTTGTTTTGGAATACAATTAAACTAGAAAATGGTTTAACACATCACTCACCTCTTTGTGATGAAGCTGTTGAGTCGTATCAAGCGGCCGCTATCAACTCGGTACAGAGTATGAGCCCTAGTACCGCAGCTATTGCGGTTAACGTACGTGGCCTTGATGGCAGATCTACACCATCACTGAACCAATCAAATCGCTGGAAAACACATCCATAGGCATTCACCTCACGAGGTTTCAAGTAAACTCTTCACCATGAAGTACTTTCACAGTATAAAATATTTCAGAATAGTTTTGTCTTAGCATTTGGAATACCTAATTTTTGTTCAATTAAGCTTTCATGAGGGAAAAAAATATATATTTGAGCTTCATGCAAGATAAATAGATTTACCAAAGAAACCACTGAAGCTGTATTAGAATCTAGCAAGAATGTTGGTAAATCCAGGTGCATGTTTTTGTCTCATCGCCAGAATGAAGGACAACATCGTATGCATACATGTAATTAAACCTTTGAAAAGTGAAAACGTTCAGATATGTGGCAACGACTGAATGGAATCAAAGTTTAATTCACGAACAGATGAAGATCTCACTAAATTCGGTGAACGCTTGCTACCACGCAGTTCACATTATTTTCTTCTCGTCAGCTGTCTAAAACAGTTTAAAAAGCATACATAACTATAATTTTGTTTGTTGTTTTGTATGGCTGTGCGAATCCGTCTCTCATATTAGGAGAGTGTTTGAGAACTGCGCCCGTGACAATGGATTGAAATAATACCCAGAGACCGGGAGATGGTACGGCCGTAGGATTACAGAGGTTAAAACCAAAGTAATAAAAAGGCAGTTCCAAATAATCAAAATATATTAAAAGTATAAATACAGGATAAAGTCAAACAACGAGACCAACAGTCAAACAAAATTCACTCTGCTCAGGCTTCCGACTGGTATACCGACCAGCAACTTTCGACATATACAGAAGAAAACGCAAGATTAGAACTATCTCAGAACAGGCAGGAAAATTTGTCTTCAGGCGCGGCGGACATACACAGACTACCCGCCGCACTGCCTCACAAGGACATCGAAGTCTGTGACTCCAAAGATCGCGGAAATGGGGGAGATAGACCACTCCGAGCCATGAGGGGTGGCTCAGAACGGAGTGTAGAATGTTGTTAATTTATTAATTAGGATGGATGAGTTGAGCAGGGCATACAGCAAGCATAGGAGAGATGAGAAATAGGCCTACATATATAATTTTGGTCAGAATCTTGAAGAGACCACTTGATATTCGTAGACGTAGATGGGAGGATAATATTAAAATCGATCTTAAAATAGGGCATGGATTGGATTGATGTGGATTAGCTGAGCAACTGTTAGGTTCTGTAGAAGGATTCAGTGTCCTTCATGGAGTTAATCATGCAAACGAGTTGCTAGTTTGCGTTGAAGTAGAGCAAAATTAAATTCGCTCCATAAGTTTTAATGTAGATCCGCAATGCTAAATTTCATGCAAAACCATGGAGTTGAGGTGTAACATGCTGAGTGACAGACATGGTTTCCCCATTATGCGTTCATTATATGCACTCTGTTCATGAGAGAGTAACTCGATATTTGTGCCCTTTTTCGATAGCATGCGTCCTCTTCCCACCAGTCACGTGTGGATAACCCATTTCGGATAATCAATGCCGCTTACAGGCTTAGTGCCCTACATGCAGACTGAGATGTAGTCGTGATGCATTGAAGCGTTATCTCTCAATCCATTCAGTGTTTTAGTCCAGAAGCGTTGCTTTGTTCAGTGCGTGAGATGGAGGCAAATTGGCTTTATTAGATGTTACGACCGTATTTGACGGCCCCTCACGTCAAAGACCCCTTCATTTAAATTAATGGAAGGTCCACAGATATGGACGGAATTAGGATGCGGCTTATGGGCTGCCTACCATCCGTTTCGTGAAGCGTTTCTTCAGATAAGCTGTTAAAATTATGGGAAAGGAGAGAGACGATCAGAGTGAAATTAATAACTGGTTCATATCGGTCAAATATAAACCCTGCTTTATACGAATCTAAAGTGAAACTTCCTCGATTTTGCATACGTAGCCCGATCTAACATGAAATGTAGATAGGCAGTCATTAAGATATAAAATTCTAATTGAAATGTTTTAACATGGCGGAACTGCGTATTGGCGTTCGTTGGTTTTGATTTAGGTCGAAGAGAACATATACGCTGAGTCTTACTTAAATATTAATTGATTATGTCAATTTAAGGAAGTTTTATTGGATTCCAGAAATTTGTGTGGTTCTTAAAATGTGTATGGTATTAATCCAGTATTTAAATATCATATCGTATAATTAGCGATATTATATAGCAACCAAAATATAAATAAAATGGTTGCTGAGCCAAAGATGTTCATCCTGCTTCAGACATACGCATTATACAAGACACTTTCATCAATGAGATCACACGTTTAGTGACATGCAAAAGAAACTCACTTTAATCTTCCCGCTATAAGATTTACTTCAGCGTGGAGTCTAATGATATACATAAAATCCGAAAAAACGTATTTCGAAAATATGTGTAGGTCTATTGTAACGTAAAGTGCATATTTATTTACATATAAGACAGTTCTCTGCAGCCGGAGTTTCCAGAGAGAATGATCATAATGTTCTGTCTTCGTTTACTGAACGCTGATTAACAACATATGACTGTTGACAGTTGAACTGTTAGTTGCAAGACGGGCGTAGGTACATTTCCCTAAAATGCAGGAAACAAGTGAAAGCTTAATAATCAACAAGCCTACAAATTTGTGTTTAAACTGTATTGACAGATGCTTAAAAGTACTAAATTCATACTACTTTTGTACTAAAATATCGGGAATGGTTCTCTAAACCAACTGGTAAAAAAGAGAGCATGTTTGCACCAACCCTACAATTTCCCCCTCTTTTGCATAGAAACCTCTAATTATAGCAGGAAATGGCCATTAGCTTAATAAGCGTACGTGAGTCACTGAATGCAGACAGCGTAAAAAATCACCCAGTACGGACAGGAACTCCACTGTTTACGTAACGCTGCAGTCGAACTTTACGAATGCCTGCGAAGTGATTTATCTCTTCTTGTAGCGTTGTTCAAGATACGAAGTACTCTGTGTACATTGGCTCAAGGTTTTTCAGTCAGTGTAGCCTGGTTTGCGTTATGGTGTCCCGCTATGTGAATCTCAGTGTGTCTGTCAAGCCGCTTCACAGAGTGTAATCATGACTGAGATTTTGTTCAGTCTGCTTTGTTCTCTCTTCAGTCCGTGTTAAATATCGTTATCCAGATATTTGTCGCGTTTTATTGTATTTGTTACATGATACTCATTTTCGGAATATTAAGCTTGGATTATTTGGAATTTCCTAATGAACGGAAAGTAGAGTGGATTCAGCTGGTCCATTAAAAGGTTCAATAACAAACTCATCTGAATACGGCAGAGATGTTCTAGACTCTATAAAAGACGGAGAAATTTTTTGACTACGTGAGTGGCTCATGTAACCCGCCTTTCAGTTTCTGAGTTCTCTTCGCTAACATCACGCGAGCAGTTCATGTAGCGGCAACATTCTAGAAGTATCCCGTGTTAATTTGAACCGCATTACTATTTGTCTGGACTGAAGCTTTTCAAGATTCTCCTAACTCTGTCTCCATAATAAATACGATGTCCTGTGTTCAGATATTTTCCCTGTGTCTGGCTACACCGAAGGACCCTTCTTTGTTTTTCTCAACCCCACCAAGTAAATGCCGGGAGAGTACATTAAATTTGGCCACGATCGCTTCTTTCCATTTTATCCCAATTCTTTATTTATTTTTGTTCCGTTGTTTGACGCTATAATTTTGGTGCTCGCGAAGAAGGGCTTGTTTCAAACGCACTTTAATTCCTATTTATGTACGCCAATTTTACGGAGCATCAGAAATATAATCTAAGCCACTCAATGCGTAGTTAAATGAAACATAAGTTACTAAATAAATCATTTACCATCTTTCGTTCAGAACGCTTTGTGGATCAAATTGACTGACCCAAACGGGAACTTTCGCTATTGATAAATGCGAGCAGGATGATGGATTGAAAATAAAATAAAAAGTTATTAGCTGATATTTACAAAATTCGCTTTCTGATGTATCACATTCAGCACGAAATGTATTGGTGCACATATAATTGGTTCGGTCTACAGAGAAAAAGTGGTCTGATTTATGTGATTCTTCAATTTAATTTGCATTTAGCCAGGAAACTCCGTTACTCCATGCTTATTAAGTGAAATCAATACAAAAAATATGGGCATCGCGTATGTTCCTAAACCATGTCCATCCCGCCCTTTATGAGAAAGTGGGTTGTACATTGAAGTCTTACTTCTTGTTTGTGGGGAAAATAATACAAACAGTTTCGTTTCTTAAAGATCGTGTCGCAAAATGTTATCATATCATTACGAAGGTGACTCATGCTCGTTACAAACCTAAGAATATGTGCGAAACAAACTGAATCTTCTCCTCTGAACATTTCTCCTCATTAATAATATTAGTTTAGTTGCTACGCGTCACAATCAGCCTTGGATAATTACTCATGTCATTATATTGTATGGTTTATTTATTGACAATGTTACCAGCTCACATTAGACTAGCATTAAATGAGAAGATAAATAGTAAATCACGAGTGGAAGGATGTGAAAGGAAGCGGTCTCGGCCTAATTGAAGGTATATTTTACCGGCATATGCTTGGAGGGTCTGACGAGAACCACGAAAAAAGGATAGCGGGACTCCAGGCTGAGAAATAAACACCGGCGTGGTAACTATTCAGCCGCGAAATTCAGTGGGACATTTGTCATTATAATATTAATACCGTAGGAATATGCAGGCCTATATTACGAGTAAAACCACTTTAAATTATTTGAGAATCTTATTTGTTTCAACACTTTGTTTACAATTCGTTCGGTATTGTAAACTTGTATACCTAAGACAAAAGAAAGAAAGAAAGAAAGAGAGAAAGCTTACATTTTCTCAGACGAAGTGTGTAAAGCATGTTTGTTCTTAATTGTAAACTGACAAGGTAATGTTCAACCATGTGTTTTACTTTGC